AACAGCAGTACAGATATGACCCCTCCGTGACCCCTGACGCATTAAAAGCGTCCTTCAGAGTCCTCTCCAATCCTACGCCTCTCCGTATTAATTATACTCTGAAATCGACACACAGTGCCAGCATGTTAAAAGCCAACAGCGGCTTCCCAAAACAGCCGTTATTTCCTCTACCCATGGAAGTAACGTGTTAGCTACCCAGTACACGATAATCACTGACAAAGCTAACAAACGTATTCCAAGTTATACATATAATCGGCCAAAAAGGTGCTGATTTCCATTCTGGAACAATCAAAGTGCCGTGTGATCTTTCCACCTTCATTTTTTGAATGGTCTCGCACACTAAGCTTGGAGGCGGCACTAACCAATTATTTTCCCCCTCCCACGATACTGTAAAAGCATCTATAGCCTCCGTGCCTTCACACCACCATCTAGAATTAAAACGCCCACATTTAGCGTTGTATCCCGAGGCGAACCTGTCAACCTCATGCACACCCCATGCTTTCTCACACAATACAACAACCCAGTATTGAATGCACCAATCGTCACAATCCATACACCTGCTCAAGTGATCAGCGGTACCGTTAGCTGACCTAGGTACCACTGCGTACTCAAACTTACCCCATTGTCGGAACAGAAACAATACAACTCGCATGCAATGCCCTGCAGCGCGGCCTTTCTGCTCCCTATATTCACTATAGAGCATGCATTTTTATTGTCCATCACCAGTTTGATGTTCTTACCTCTCATCTCGTCGGCCACACATTTTTTTTAAATGATACTTTACCAAAACATGTTAAATGAGTATACCAATGGAAAAATCGAAATATTTTGTGGATAAAGCACTCACATTTTGCTATGGCGCGCAAAAACTCCTATGGCGCACCTATGGCGCTAAATCTCCTATGGCGCAAATTAGTGAGACCCCCCTGCTGTGGCTATGCCGAAAGGCAACACGTTGAAAATGTAATATCTTTTGTTATACCTTGATCTTCCCAACTAAAACCCAAAAAGGTCCGATGACTAGGAAAAATCTCCACATGATGGTAAGCAGACTTGAGGTCGAATGTAAACAAAAACTCACCTTCCGTGAACAAATCACGTGCCGTCCTGGCATCCTCTTACTTAAACTTGAATTTATGCAAATGAGGATTGATATGCCGACAATCCAAAACAAGGCGTGGCTTACCTGCCCTGTTGTAAGCAACAGTAAGTGGGTTTACGATGCACGGCTGTGTCACTACTTCGTAAACTAAACCCAGCCCTAGCAACTTTCCTATCTCAGACCCAACAAAAACTGGATCGTTTCGTGCAGACTTGTTATTGTGCAAATAAACGCCAGTCGGGATTACCCGAAACGGGATCTTATACCCGTCCGACACAATGGATAATACGGCATCGCATGTACCTTTCTCTCGCCAGAAATCCACTCTCTGCCTCAACCTACCCATCGGCGACTCGCTGACCTTACCTTTCATGCTAGACAAATTAACATTTAAAACATCAGAATGCTTTACGTCGCCCTTTCGTGCCTCATCTGAATTACACAAAGGCGTACCATCAGGGAGAACATGCTTAAAATAGCAAAATTTACTTATCTTACTGCCGTTCGTGGCTGCCATCCCTCCGGACACCCCGGGACACTCCAACCTCCAGTGGCCAGGCTTACCACAACTATAGCATAGACCCGGTCGCTGTGCCCTCCATGCCGGCCCGGACCTGCTGCTGTCCGTCGTATTAGAAGTAATAGTAGCCGTAGGTCCGCCGAATCGTTGATAAGGGGTATTAAATCTGCGACCTCCCCTCGCTGATTTAGACTTTGATACCGCCTTCATTTTCCTGTTGGCCCTATTAGTGGCCCGGTCCATCCTCTTTTCGTCCTCAGAATCCTCCGCAATGGGATTAACGATATACTCGTCGACAGCCCTCCATCCTGCCTCCGACGTGTCGGCCAGCTTGACCAACTTTTGCCTATAGTCTATCATGTCCACGCCCTCCGAAACTATGGCCTCCACTGCCCCTGGACCTGACTTCGTAGCATGCCCAACTTCCATGAATTTAGCTTTAAGCTTCGTGTTGAACCTATACTGGTCCTCACAACTCTTCTTGCTGAATTTATGTGAATCCACACTCGCGATATTTTGCTGTAGTTTCGATATCTGTGCCTCAGAATTACTGGAAATTTTTAATTCAAAAGCGTCTAGCTTGCTAGATATAAGCCGGTCCAAATGGGAAAGGACTTGGTTCTGCGTATTGGCAACCGCATCTTTCACCTTCTCTGCTATAGCCTCATTAATATCGGGGTTGATAGCTTCCCCCTCCATATTCATGCTCGTAGTCAAAGTTTGATGTGAACCGCGCGTCCCGAATAAGCGACTAGAAATGACCCTATACTATAGGCCCCGTGCTCACCTNACACAGTCAGGAGTTGTAGTTAAAACTGTAGTGTACTAGAGTTAACACATCCGGGATCAGATGCTGACGTCAAAGTTTAGTTTAGGCTATATATATCATATAGAGAGTAAGTAGATCTTCGTGAAGTGTCGTGTTATAGAAGGCAGTAGGTGGTATATTCTCTATAAATCTATGACAGAGTGGTGTTGAATATATTTGTCATGTTTGTGATATTCTGCAAGAGTTACTATGTTCATCAAAATTTATCAGGAATTTTCGATTCCTTCGTTAAACGAAATATTTTGCCATGAAGAGATTGGTGAGGGATACCGAAAGATTTTCTTTCTTACATAAAAAAGTAATACAGTGAAATTCTGGATGTACTTCAAATACTGAGTTATTGATGTTAGAGAGAGCCCAACATGTTATTGTTAAATCTAAAGGTTTCGGAAAAAGACTGATATGTGTACTTCTTTAATCGGATGGTTTTCTATAGAGGCGTATATCAATATCAAAACGCTTTTGTTTTTAGGCAGGATCAGCAAAATGAAAAGAGGTCACTGAATCTGCTGCAGAGTATTCATTTTGAGGTATTTTATGTATACAGTTAATAATCATAGTCAAAAAGGTTATATACCAGACATTGTCAGATTACTAAAGAAGAATAATCTATATGAATACATTATACAATTTATAAATGATGGTGTTTTTCAAAATAAAATGTATTGGAAGTCATTGATTTATAAATCCGTAACAAACTATGAAACTAATACATGGATGCAAAGAATGTCTAATGACACAGACTTAACACGATTTTTATTGCTACATGACTGTCTAAAACCTCATAATTTATGGAAATTAGCCTTGCGTCACTCAAATTTTCTTGACAATATCGGATATATAATGAAATTGATTGTATCTATACGTGTAATTAACATACAACTTTTATGTCATCATTGTGGCTATTTCTACACAGATTTTGTATCTCATGTGATTCTGCATTGTTCTGTAACAGAAAATCTTTGTGACAATTTATGGTGTATAATTGCCTGCATTTCAAGTATTGAACTCAGTTCATATCTGCATTCACTGCCTGACTATTCAGTAATTCACATTTTACTAGGAGGCCAAAGGACCAATAATTTAAATGAAATTGATTTTGAAGAATTTAGACTAGAATCCGTATATGCGATAAAAAGAATGTTTGACTTATATACGTAATAATAATTATTATAATAATGTCTTACAAATACTTGCCTTTGTAATATAAGGAAAATGTAAAAAAAAAAATCGAACATACATTTTGTAGGCAAGGTATTATTATTATATATATATACATATATATATATATATATATATATATATTTACTGGCTACATAAACCAGTATTATATCACTGATATTTAACAATATGTATATATACGTTTGTGAATGTGTATGAACGTCACGATTGTTGTTTGTAAATAATGTATTATTCATGTAATATCATTGTATCATGCTCTCCAATTTGGAGGAAATAAAGATGATATAGAGAGTAAGTAGATCTTCGTTAAGTGTCGTGTTATAGAAGTGGTATATTCTCTACAAATCTATGACGGAATATGAGGTAACAATGTTATTGTGGGCACCTTAGATGAGAATATGCCGTTATCTATAACGAAAGGCCATACCCAAAATTTGAAGAAAAATATGGCATTCGAAATACTCCTTTGGCTTCAGTACTATCGATACTGGGAACCGTCTTCTGCGGTTATCACATCCCTGGTTATACAAACCAATCAACGAAACGGACTTTAAAAATATATCTTTATGACATGAACGATAAAGCCTTTACTTCCTGCATCCGTTTACTAACCTATTAAAATTCAAAAGTTTTTACTAATATTCAAATTTAAGCGGCCTTTTTTAAATCTTAACGGATATCTGTATAGACCTGAAGTAAATATATACAATCTTAGTCTTTTGAAATCTATTATAAAATGCAAGACCTTAACATGTCCTTTATAGCTGCGATAACGTAGCTTTCTGACGACTAGAGATATTTTTTTATATAGAGGAGGCCGGGTATTAATATTAGTTCTATGTCCTTTAGTGCCACCTCCGATAATTAAATGCACTGAAACTTTTTAGTCTGGTCCTTAAACGTTGCTATCCGAGAGATATAAATCATACAGTAATGTCGATGATCCGAAAAGGAGAGAAATTCCTTCTGTAACATTATCTATGAAAAATCCGCTATTTCTCTTTCTGATTTAAAACATGAATGAATAAACAGATCATGAAATAAAAATGGCACAACGTTCAAATAGTTTTTTTTATGATTAGGTCGATGTACAAACTACTTTCACTTTCGATGTATGATAGAGTTACTGTCCTTTATATCCGGAACAAATCAAATATGGCTGCGCCCATGGATGACCATCGGATCTAGCTTATTCTTCTTGAATGCGGTTAAATGAGCTTTAATTTCTAGTTGTTGTGGTTGATTGTTTCAAAAATTATTTACTCATTTTGTATTGATGATATTGTCATGAAGGTTTTCAATTACAAACAATGATTTTTGTGTGAAAGTGGAATTGAAAACAAAGGGTTTCACCGGCACCGCTGGGTTCGTCGACTTCGTACGGAATCATGGATCAGATGATATCTAAAGTGTCCAAGTTTGCGCCTACCAACGAATTCCTTTTACAGGGAAGCATCATGGAGAATGCGCACGACGTACTATTGCATCGACTTCGAGGTTTATGTGACAACTCGGACAGTCCATTCGAAACATTCACAGACAACGAAATGATTTTCTCAATGAGTATGTTGCGTTTACGATGATATCTCTCTCTCAATTAATACTGCAGCAAAGTCTTTCGAGTTAAATGGGCAGCGTCATTAAAAAAGTGTAAAGAGGCAGGGATCACTTTTTGCAAAAATACTTATAAATAAATAAATGTGTCAACAAATCAGTTGATGTTGTCATAGAATAGATCTATAGCCATGCACCATTTTTTGTCTACGGATGATTAGTTTTTAAGTTCAGAAAGCACAAGAAAACGTAATTCAAACTCAAATGTCAGTGTTTTGATCACGTTTTTAAAAAATGGCGCGTGCGACGACTTTGCATTCTGTTTTGTACTATAGGAATACATTTACACTATAGAAATACTTTTTATCATATAAATTCTAAAGGTCATCATAAAATGTTAATATGCTGAAAAAAAAGTTTCAAGCCATAATTGATCCGATTTGGATCCTGACATTCGCAAAAATTGGAGACGCTGATTGGTAACTTCGGAGTGTTCTATAAATATCTCAAGTGAGCCCTGGGTGCTAATTTTGTTTGTAAGAACACCCATCGATATTTTTCCTTTGATACAACCATAAATGAATACAGTTCCTCCTCAGAATTTTCAATGAATTAATAAAATGATGGTTTGGTGATCCGATTTGGGTACTAGCTGTCACCTTAATCGTTTCTATATTTTTATTTGACAAATTAACATATTTTATAAGTTTAGATTTAAGATATATTTAAAAATTGACTATTTTATTAGCCAGAGACGTACAATGTATAATACTACACTCTGGCTTTATATGTCTATGGAATAACGTATAAATTTGATTAGGGCGAACAGGATTTAGGGCGAAAGAACCTGTTACCATATGTAATCCCATGTACAGCTGATGTACGGAATATATTTGTCACTATCTTTCTGGGACACTCATGGCAAGTATGATGTAATTATCTTCTAAGACTGCAGAAACTGACTTTTAAATCATTTCTGAAGAAAAAAAACTTTCTCCCACAACCACTATAGGTATTCTCACTCTCGGCTCATTGCCATTGGATAAACCTACTAGGAGTTGGTAAATATTTTTGGTTACCCACTTGTGGGTAACAACCTGCACATGATTTCATTGGTCAATGTTTTTATTATGATGTTAAGTAACAATGCCTTGTGATGTCATCTTCCAGTGTGACATCATAGTTCATTGCCATTGTTTCAGAATCATGAATAATGTACATGTATTCCCAAGACAAACATATGGTTTTCTAGATATAATATCTGAACACTGGGAGAGAAAAAGGTCCCCAAGCTCGTGATGGTTGATTATCACATTTTATCTAACTTGCGTTATTAATTATCAAACTGTAAAAGACACTCGGTAAACCTTGCTTCTTTAAACAATTTGAAAATTACCTAACTCAAGTAAGAACGCGACAATCAACCATCACTCTTTGGAGAACCCCTATTTGTTTCATTTTTATTTATCATATATCAGCAACTAAACATGCTATAGAATTCATTAATATGAATAAATAAGGTTGAATAGAGTTTCTTTTACTTGTAGTACATGAAGTATTTGTACATTGCTTGTAGTACATGTAGTATTTGTACATTGCTTGTAGTACATGCAGTATTTGTACATTACTTGTTGTACATGTAGTATTTGTACATTACTTGTAGTACATGTAGTAATTGTACATTGCTTGTGGTACAGGTAGTATTTGTACATTGCTTGTAGTACAGGTAGTATTTGTACATTACTTGTAGTACATGTAGTATTTGTACATTACTTGTTGTACATGTAGTATTTGTATAATTTTTTCTTTTAATAGAAAACACCACCATCACACAGGCCCTAAATCTAAGAGTGAGACACTCTTTGATTGAACAAGACTCGTGGTAAGTATACATAGGTGTCAACCTCTGAAACCTCCAATAAGGGAAATCTCCCTCACTCCACATTTGAAATGAGGGGGAAAGTGCGTGAAACGCAACTGAAATTGCTTTAATCAATTTATCTTTCCCTTTTTATATATCAAAATAGCTCGAAAAACATTCATTTGATACAGATACACCTGTTTTGATCATTACACACACCCTGCAGTAGCCAGGAGATCATTTGACCATAGGATGTAGATTTTGAGTTTGTGTGAGTTTGAACTTAAATGAGGGAGTCTCCTTCTTAATGAGGGAGGTTTGACAGCTATGAGTATAGAAAGCTTAAATGTGAAGTATAAAAAAAAATGTATAATATTCTTCAAATTCTGAATCAATATATTTTGACAGATTTCCATCAAGTTCATGAAGGTAATACACAAATGAATTCCATATCTGCCATCAAACACAAAGTAAAATTGTAAATGCTACTTTTTATGCTAATAAAGGCAGGTGAGATATGCAGGTATGGCCGAGATGGGAGACAAGAATCGCCCGACCATGGTGAGGCATGTCATTGATTGCAGTACCTCGGACAACATTGTACTGTTCCTTAATGAGCTGGGCTTCAGGTAAGACAAAGACGTTACAAATAGTAAAAGGTACACGTAGCGAAAGGAAATCATGTAACATTCTGCAATGAGTTCTGTACGAATGTCCATTTGATGATTCTCTAGAGCTTGTATCTGAAAATTGTTCCCATATCATTTTTTCATTTTCACACATTGCCTTTGAAGACTAGTATACTTGAGTATCCTATGACTGACTATCAAGGTTTTAGGTGGTTTCACCCTAAATTCTGTTCACTCCGGGATCCGTGTTGGTTCGCCTTTAAGTAGTGTATGAATAAATCTGTCTCATGAAGTTTTCTGATGGACCAGATCTCCACAATGCATTCACCAAAATTCTTTTGACAACAACATTGTTCACGAAACATGAAAACAGTAAGTTTTTAATCATTAAAAGCATTTAAACTGATATTTATAACTTGAGTAAATATATGCTTAGGGTGAAACAACCTTGTGCAAACTGGATTAGGACACTACCAATCAAATCTGTGTCCTCCCGAACTCTAGACGGACACTACCAATCAAACCTGTGACCTCCCGAACTCTAGACGGACACTCTACCAATCAAACCTGTGGCCTCCCAAACTCTAGACTGACACTCTACCAATCAAATCTGTTATCTCCCAAACTCTAGACGGACACTCTACCAATCAAACCTGTGACCTCCCAAACTCTAGACAGACACTACCAATCAAACCTGTGACCTCCCGAACGCTAGACGGACACTCTACCAATCAAACCTGTGACCTCCCGAACTCTAGACGGACACTCTACCAATCAAACCTGTGACCTCCTGAACTCTAGTCGGACACTCTACCAATCAAACCTGTGACCTCCCGAACTCTAGACGGACACTCTACCAATCTAACCTGTGACCTCCCAAACTGTAGATGGACACTCTACCAATCAAACCTGTGACCTCCTGAACTCTAGTCGGACACTCTACCAATCAAACCTGTGACCTCCCGAACTCTAGACAGACACTCTACCAATCAAACCTGTGACCTCCCAAACTCTAGATGGACACTCTACCAATCAAACCTGTGACCTCCCGAACTCTTAGACGGACACTCTACCAATCAAACCTGTGACCTCCCGAACTCGAGACGGACACTCTACCAATCAAACCTGTGCCCTCCCGAACTCGAGACGGACACTCTACCAATCAACCCTGTGACCTCCCAAACTCTAGACGGACACTCTACCAATCTAACCTGTGACCTCCCGAACTCTACACGGACACTCTACCAATCAAACCGGTGCCCTCCCGAACTCAAGACGGGCACTCTACCAATCAAACCTGTGACCTCCTGAACTCTAGTCGGACACTCTACCAATCAATCCTGTGACCTCCCGAACTCGAGACGGACACTCTACCAATCAAACCTGTGACCTCCCAAACTCTAGATGGACACTCTACCAATCAAAACCACCTGGTTGCCAAAGATCAACTCGGTCCAGTTCCACTACAAATGTGGTTCATACTCTGAATTTTGTAAATTGAACAGAAAAATCTTATTTCATACGTATCCTTTTCAACAAAAATTACAATTCCCAAGAAAATATATATTGGTTAGGCATAATAAGTTTCTTTTTCTGTTTAAACTTTTCACAGGATGGACCATGAATTTGTTATAAAAGGATTTTATTTCCATAAAGGAAGAATGAAGGTGACCGTTTCAAAGATTTACAAGGTTAGTAAATTTTTGTGAATAAAGTACGAGCAGAGATCATGGTTAAGTATTCCAACCCAATGTCAGCCCTATATATTTTGTATAAATATTTCACCACCTGCACTTTTCTACAGTGTACAGACATTGAAAAGTTATTTTTCTGTCAAATTCATGTTAACTCCTTTAAATTCATACAAAGACGGTGATAGGTTGCGGGACTTTTAGGTAGTTAGTGTAACGTAAATGTTGAAGTAATTCTCAGTAATGTTGAAGAAGGTTTAACATGACAAACATATCATGATGGGTAGAGCATGTCAGCTTCCTTCTTTATATTCAGGAAATCCATTTGGCGGAGATGTTTTTGAGAAGGAAACTATGATAAATATATAATTCTTTGTAAACCTTTTGAAAATTCAATGAGGGAGATTCCACAAGCTCAAAATTTGAATAACATAACGTATCACTCACCTGGAAATGTAAGCAAATTAGATTGAAGTTGAAATAGCCAGGGGATATATGTATATGCAATTGGACAAAATCCCCGCCCCTCTGTCCCAAGGGGGTGTCAGATTCACTGTTGATACAAAATTAAGTTCCCTTCACCAAAGGATGCTTTAGACCAAACATGGACAAAATCCTGTCATTCCTACAGAAGAAGAAGAATTTTAAAGAATTTGCTGAATTACCCCTATTGGGCCCCAACCTTTAGGCCCCAGGAGGGATCAGATCCACCATTTATACAAAATTGATTTTCCTTCCCCATAGGATGCTACTGTTCAAATTTGGTCGAAATACCTTCATCTAAACGGAAGAAAAAGGATATTAAAGCTATTCCTCTATATCCCTTATTGAGCCCCCCCCCCCTCTTTGCCCCCAGGGGGGTCAGTCCCACCGTATTTACAAAATTGGTTCCCCTTCACCCAAGGGTGTTCAATACCAAATTTGGACAAAATCGGCCATTCCTACAGAAGAAGAAGGATTTTGAAGAATTCACTATTTCCCCTGTTGGGCCCCACCTCTCTGCCACCAGGGGGGCCAAAATCACTGTTTATACAAAATTGAGTCCCTGGCTCCAGACTGAATTAGGATAAAATCCCTTAATCCCTACGATAGAAGAAGGATTTTAAAGGATTACCTCTATTTCCCCTATTGGGCCCCACCCCTCTGCCCACAGGAGGGATACACACACTGTTTATACAAAATTCAGTCCTCTTGGCCCAAGGATGCTCCAGACTGAATTAGGATAAAATCCCTTAATCCCTACGGTAGGAGAAGGATTTTAAAGGTTTCAACTCTATTTCCCCTATTTGGCCCCGTCCTTTCCCTCAGGGGGCCCTCACCCACCGTTTATACAAAATTGATAGCCCTTCGCCTATGGATGCTCAAGACCAAATTTAGTCAAAATCTACTGGGCTGTTCAGGCCTAGTAGCATTTTAAAGGAAAAGTTGACGGACGGACGACATACACTGCGGTATGGTACAGTATAAGATCACCATGGTCCTTCAGACCAGGTGAGCTAATAAAATGTGTGTATGTGGGTGAATTTCTTCCCTTCAAATATCATCTCTTAAGTTATTCTTTTATATGAAATCATCAGATCTTAGAATCTTTGAATAGTTCAGCAAATTAATTGCTTGGAAATATTAAATTTAAGGGTTCAAAATCCGGAGTCCCCTTCAAAATAGGGAGGTTTGGCAAGTATGCTGTTAAGTAAATGGAAAAATGCTGAACAAACTGGAACTTATTTTCATTGTGTATTTAAAAATACAGTGCTAGGGCTGTCTGCCCTAATCATAATCAAAATTATTAAAGACACAAGTTAAATTTTTCCAAGTATATGAAAGGCAATGCATGTTACTAGATATCCTGTACAGTGTGGTTATTGCTTGCCCTAGATGAACCAGCCTGGAAACACAGAGAACCTGGAGCCATTCTCGACGTCCAGCCTTGTTGAACTGTCCGTGGTCACTCAGCAGTCTGGTGGGGAGGGCATTGCCGAGGACATGAAAAGCTTCTCAGAACAACTAAAACCGTATCCTTTGATAATATCTGCCACTGTATTTGATGATTTATTAATATAATGCTTTTAAAAAGCACTGTGTATTGATTTAATCAAACAATTACGTCAGTAAGACCATCGTAAAAAATAGTTTGTTTGCAAGTTTCCTGACCAAGTTTCCTCACCTAAACTGACACCTACGTACTCAAACTTGCTTTGGATCTTGTGGTGGGTTTTTTCTTTATAAAATATCACTGACACTTTTGGTTTTTACATACAAATATGGGATTTCTGAAGTAAAAAAGAAACTACCTACCTACCGACCCACTGAACAAATATGAGTTAGGAAACATGATGGCCTATAAGTTGTATCTTTCTAGTTACGTCAATAAGTGTTGTTCATACATTTCTACCCAAGTCAGCTAGTGTTGGCAATATACTACAAATCTCACTAGAGTTTTGATCCGTCAACTGTCAGATAGTATTGGTATTGTAATTGTTTAAGTATATACACTATACTACATATTATTTGACCAGAATCATATATATGTACCTATACTTTTAGTTCATTCAAATATTAACACCATGTAGACCTTTTTCAAATATCCTATAACAACATCACTTTGTGGAAAGTGTAAATTATAAATTTATTCTTGCCTAAAAATAATTGTAAACCGCCTTAACACCATTCCAGACTTGTGCAGCTTGAGAAGGTGGATCATCGACGACTGCAAAACATCTAGATATCTGCCTGATCCCTAAAACGTATCATTCTCTATAGGGTGGATACAAGGTTTGTCAGATTCTAGGAAACAAGAATCCGTGACCTTTGAAGGCTTCTGTGGAAATAATGAGGTCTTGCTTTAATATTCCTGATGTCTGTTATTTTGGTGTAATAATAATGCCAGATTCCAGTGAAGAGTTCTTCATCTTCAAATACAAAATGGTCAAGGCCGAGAGACATCATTGAAGGCAGTCACTCTCACTGTTACTGACAAAGTCAGTGTGTCTCTTTTTATTGTTACTTATGAACAAAGACTTTACCTCGCTAAGTACTGGAAAAAAACAACAAACACTGTCAATGACAACTTGGGAGGATCTTAGGAAAACAGGTGAACCTTGGTATTCCTGAATGCTTGCCTTCTAGAAATGGATTTCCAGTTACATTATCGGGACTATTTCTACAATAGATGTGTTGAAGATCACCTTGGACAGCTACTCTCTGGCTGCATGTTACACAATGACTGAAGTCAAGTTCAAATGGAATTCAAACCAACAATATTACAGTACAGTATTTGACCAAATGAATGCCCCATCCTTTATAAGCACCTCCTATCCTTTTTTTCTGCCACAGGAGTCCCATCCCTTCACCATAATTTTTCAACATACTTTGAAATAGTTTCCGTTATCGCTGTTCTTTTTTTGTTTATTTAGAACTTTGGAAAAATCTGCAATCATTCTAATTTTACCAAAAAATCTAAAAGCCTAAAGCATTTATTGAGTCAAATATGGTAATGTCATTAAAGGCGCCGCAAGGAGAGCAACCATTTTCTCATTACAATGTACTTAAATGTAAATGTAAAACCTTTAACTTTCATCATAAGATGGTGTACCTGATGATTGGGGAGTTATTTGTGGAACAAATGTCGTACACATGTATGTGTGTTGATATTCCATGATCTGAAGAGGTTATCACGAACGTTGAATCTCTTAATACATGTAATGATTTTCTTTACTTGAAAATATAGAAAATTCTCAAGGACATGCTGGTATTAATAATGACATTATAATTAATAAATTTGGTCTTGAAATATTTTGAATTGATATGTTGATATACAAAATAAATGTACATGTGAATCGTTTCAGTTTTGGAAATATTTATTTGTACAACTTGTGTTGAACACTTTACCTAGTAATCTGATGCTGCTTTCAGGCAAGCCTTGGCAAAGTTTTGCAAGGCCTGCGTAAAGATTTGCAGGTCCACCAGGATTTATACCAGAAAATGTTGAATTTAAGAATAAACAAACCACAGTTGAACCAGCTACGTGAAAGGGCCCCCAAGGTTTATGTGAAGGGAGATAACTAATGACAGTATGATGCAGACAGTAACATAATTTGTATTCTATGTCATTAGTGCCGTGGCGCGGCATCCGTCGTCCGGCCGTCCGGCCGTCCGGCCGTCCGGCGTCAATATTTTACTTTAAACGACTTCTTTTTAATAACCGAAAGTCCTAGGGTGTCGATATTTGGCCAGAAGGAAACTTGGATAAAGGGCTACAAAGTTTGTTAAAATGAATGACCTTAACCTATTTTCAAGGTCACAGGGGTCAAATATGTCAAAAACTTTAAACATTTTCTTCTCAATAACCAAAATGCCCAGGGAGATGATATTTGGCCAGTAGCATGCTTGGGTGAAGGGCTACCAAGTTTGTTCAAATGAATGACCTTCAATTATATTCAAGGTCACAGGGGTCAATTGTATTAGAAAACCTTTAAACAACTTCTTCTGAATAACCA